GGTGGTGGTGGTGATGATAGTGATGATGGTAGTGGTGGTGGTGGTGATGGTGATGGTGGTGGTGATGGTGATGATGGTGATGGTGGTAGTGAAGATGGTGGTCATGGTGGCGGTGGTGGTGGTGATGATGGTCATGATGATGATGGTGATAGTGATGATAATATTATATATTGAAGATTTATTAAGTGCCATACATTTTGCTAAAAACATTATTTCATTTAATCCTTGCAACAACCATGGAAGATAAGGTCTGTTGTTATCCCCATTTTACAGATGAGGAAACAGAGACCTTTAGGATTAAATAACTGACCCAAATTCTCATGGTGGGTGGATCTGCTCCTCAAACTTACATACAGTCCTTCTGAATCAAGAACCTGGACTCCTAGCCACTCACATGAGCTAAGGGCTGGCCACACAGAAGGGCGGCAACAAATGCTCCCCCACTCTGCTCCTCCTTGAACAAAATAATCAAAACGGAATGTGAGACTGATCTCAGCCTGACCCTGGACCAGAGCTATTTGTCTTTTTCTCATTCCTCCTGCCACTCTCTCCCATCAGCCTTTCTTGAATTGAAAGATGACAAATGGGTCTTCGTGTTCTGAGAAACACCTCCAGGTCCTGGGAGCTGTGACACCCCTGTGGCCATGGGCTCCTCTCTCGGGGAAGCTGGGGGGTGAGGAGGGTTGGAGGCATCCCCAGCAGCTAATTAAACCCGCAGTTTCGGTACATATCCTCCCAGGGAGAGAACAGTGCTGGGGTTTCCTGAGAATTTTTCATTCAGCCCTGGGGCCTGTGGTCTGATTTATATGTCACAGTCCCCAGCACCTTTCTCATTCTGTCATCGGGGGTTTCTTTGTACGAGTTGTAGGCCAGAGAGTTCAACCCACTGCGTTGTCAGCAGTGAGGGAAGGGGTGTTTTGATTTCCTCCACTGAGGACATACGGAGATGTTTCTGGAAGCATTTGGCTCAAAGAAGACACCATAGGGGAGCCAGACTGAGACAACTGCTGGGTCAGGCAATTCAATGAAACAAAGCCCCAGGCAAAGGGGGTCCTGATTGGGTTTCCTGATTCCGCAGGAAGTGCAAAGGAGCACTGAGCGCAGGGACTAGGAAAAGGGGGTAGGAGAGGCGGGGAGGGGACCCTGGTGCCCTTTGATGATAAATGTACTGCCAGAGGGGCCTTTCCAAAATGCTTACCCAGCCTCCACCTTCCTGCTTAAAATCCTTCCGTGGTTCCCCTTGCTCTCAGAATAAAGACCCACTCTCCTGCCCCATCCCTTGCTCACCTCTCCTTCTTCCCTCCCCGTGCCTCCCTCTTCATGCCCAGAGGGAAGGAGAGCTCATATCATCCCTGCAGGGAAAAGCAAGGAAGGAAGCTGCCAGGTGGGGGAGGAGAGAGGGCTGGAAGGGAATGCAGAGAGGGACTTTTTTGCATTTCACCAACTTCAAGGGAAATGATGTATAAGGAACACATACCATTTTTCAAAAACAAATTTTGATAGAGACTGTCAGTGCTCCCACGTCAGTAGCGTTGGACCCGTTTTCCATCTGTCAATCCTTCCTTGTTCTTCCCTCCTCTCTCTCCATCTCTCTGATACTGATCCAGTGTGTTATGCACCAGCCACCAGACCAGGCACCGAGGGGGGCAGTGGGAAAGGGAGCTGCAAGATGAGGAAGATCCAGATGCTGCCCTCCAGATAAATTCACGTATTTAATTTTCAGACGGAGAGGGCATGTCATTTAGCCTGCAGCTCCTTTGGGGAATGAGATGTTCCGCGTAGGCAACTTTTCTGGACAACTGAAGCTTATCCTATTAGCTTTGAAAGTTAAAAAAAAAAAAAAGGGAATGATTTTCAATGAAAGTTTTAAATCAAGTTTCCCTGATGGATGTGGGCATCCTGTGGGTGCTCGGTGTGCTTCAGCCCTGAAAGCAGAAACACTGCCTATTGGCTGCCTGAGTGGGTACTGACCTGGGCATTTTCTCATGGGATCCTCGTCACAGTTTGCATGAGGACCCTGGACCCCAGCGAAGCAGACGGATGTCCCCTTGGTCTGGGAAGGGTGGAACCTCAGGTCAGGCTTAGGTCTGGAACCACATACAGCCGTTCCCATGCCTGGCAGTGGCCCAGAGCCGCCCTCCTGAATCCCGGTGCTCCTCTGGGCCAGGCCTGGTGCACACGTTTGTCCCTGGTCATCAGCTGTGCGCTCCCCAGCCCCCCTTTCCCTCCTTGTGGGACAGAGCACCTGAGAAGGAAATTCACCATCAAGGACTGTGGGCTAAAGAGACACACGGGAGTGTGGCCAGAGGGCTTGGTTCTGGTGTGAGGGCTCTGGGACTGACCTCCCTGGTGTTCTGATTTCTGCCTCTTGTAATAATCATCGTGTCTTGGTTGGCCTCCCATGTTTCCACAGACTTTGAGGCAAGGACTCCAGGGCAGATGGTTGGTTTATTGGAGAGAAGATCCCAGCCCACACCAGCAGGGGAGTCGGGGAGAGACAGGGAAGGCAAAGCAACCAGCACAAGTGCCTCAAAGGGCAGTTATGGGCAACTTGGTCCAGCCCCACCTTGACACACCCCTGAGTTGTCCTACCGAAGAGAGAGGAGACTGAGAGATTCATCACCCAGCTCCCCATCGTGCTGTTTCAGGCTTCCTGCGTTTTAGCCAGCCCACCTTTCCAGCCAGAGAAGGTTGTCTGCGGAGGGTCTTAGGGGCTGGCTGTACCAATTAGTAATAATGACAATAACCACCATAGTAAGAAGGACAGCACCTGCTGCTGCAAGTATCTGTCCAAGCACCTGATTCGTGTCATATTATTAATCCTCATGCAGCCCCGTGAGGCAGGTGCTATGATTGTCCCCACTTCACAGGTAAGGAAACTGAGGCTCAGAGCCGGTCAGCCACTTGCCCAAGTTGTCACAGCCAGGAAGTAGGGGTGTAGGGATTTGAAGCCAGATTTATTCTGTATACTGTCCTGACCTCATTTCCCCCCTTTTGGGGGTGGGGGTGGGGGATGGTTTATTCTGTAAGAGTCAGGTTCCCAGACATCTCTCACCTGGGAGGGAGATTGTGCCCCTCTTACATGGTGGTTCTTAAACTCTGGAATACACTTGCTGGAAATTCACATTCAGCTACTGAATCAGAACCTCAGAGGGCAAACCTTGGGGAGCTGACTTGGGTGGAATCATGCATTTGCTGGAAAAAAGATTCTTCATAAGCGGGACATAGGGTCTGCATTGTGCAACAGTTTGACCTCGGTCCCTGTGACCCGCCCTCCAGGGTCTGTGTGGTTTCGGCACTTAGCTAGTCCTGCGGACTGGATGAGCAGTCCTGGATGTGTGGGCACTGGTTCTGACATCTGGACTCCACGCGAAGCGAAGAGCCTGAGTGTCAGAGCTGGTTCTTTGGGCGTTCTGCATGAGCCGCGGTTTTGCTCCCACGCCTCGCTCTGCCCTCTGAGGCGGAGGGACTTCCACGCCACAGGCTATTGGCCGCCACTGCAGTCACCTGGCTTGAGACGACTGTGCACGCTGCCAGTGGCCAGGACTTTCCCCTGGACGCTCACTCTGCTCACTTCTACCACATCAGCGCCCCCCTCTCTGTGTGTAACCTGAATGTCCCACCCTCCCAGCAGGGAAGGAGACCTCCCATCACTGCCTTGGGTGGCTGTCTCCGACAGCTAGAGCCTTTAAGTAAAATCAGAAGCCACCACTGACCCAGGTATTCTGCCAGGGCCAGTCAGGTCCTCTGTTTTTCCATCTGTAAGATGGGAGTGATAGTAATACCTACTTCATAAGGTTGTTCTGAAGATCCAGTGGCATAGTGTCTATAAAATGTGTAGTACCATGGCTGTCAAATGAGTCTTCAAGTAAATGGTAAATGATTATTGGGATTGGAAGATGATGATGACAAAGATAAATAGAGACTGATGGGGGGAATGTCTTTCATAGCATGAAGTGGGCACTGTTGAAGTGTCTACCCACTCTTGGGCCAGCCAGGGCTGACCCGTGAGAGTGGTATGGCAGTAGTCTCTCTCCAGAGTTAATTTCCTGGCTGCCAAGGATAATGTCTTTTCAGTAGCTGCCCCATCTCCTCTTACAATTTGGTATCCACAGTACTCAGAGCTTTCTGAACCACTGGGGCATTCCATCCATCCACCCACCCATTCACCCACCCACTGATCCATCTACCTGTCCATCCACCCATCTATCCACCCATTGACCCATCTACCCATCCATCCACACACTCATCGATTATTCTACCCACCCCTCAATCCATCTACCCACCCCTCAATCCATCTAGCCATCTACCCACACACTGTTGTGGCAAGGGAGCATCCCCGAAAGGTTTATTAGGGGAGAACTCCCCAGTAAGCCAATAGAGTCTCATGCAGGTTACACACAGAGAGGGGGAGCTTATGGTAGATGGGAGCAGAGTGAGCATCCAGGGGAAAGTCCTGGTCACTGGCAGCGTGCACAGTTGTCTCAAGCCAGGTGACTGCAGTGGCGGCCAACAGCCTGTGGCGTGGAAGTCCCTCCGTGCTCTGAGCGTGACCCGTGCTACAGCCAAGCTTGAATGTTGAATGGTCAAAGCTCTGAGTTCTTATAGCCCCCGAGGGGTGGAGATCCCACTCATATCGGAGTCCTGATGGAGCCTTTACCCAAATGTCCAGACTTGTGGTTTTGGGTGTTCCTGTTATACTCCATACCTCAGTCTTGACATAGTGCTTGACATGACTATCACAGCCGACAGTGACTCCATATTGGTTTGTAAAAGGTGTTCAAAAAGTCCACTCTGCTTTTGCTCTATATACCCACCCACCCATGCATTCATTCATCTGTCTGTTCATCTGTCCATGCATTTGTGCATCCACCCAACCATCTATCCATCCATTCATTATCCATCCATCTATGCATCCGTGAATGCATCCATCGCTCTGTTTATCCATGCATCTGTCCATCCATCCATCATCCAACTGCCCTTCTCTCTCTTTCTCTCAGGTTAAAGTGCCACAACAAATGCACCAAAGAAGCCCCGCCCTGCCATCTCCTCATCATCCACCGAGGAGGTAAGTGTTTAACACTTGCTGCCAAGGACCAGCAATGCAGAATCAGCAGGGAGCTTGGAGCCTCCCTTGCTGACCCATGGAATCAGAATCCGCATTTCAGCAGGATCTGCAGCTGAGTCCTGTGCACTTTGAGGTTGAGAAGTGCTGCTCTGGAGCAGGAGTTACAAACTCAGATGCCTTCCAGGGCCAAGCAAGTGCCGTAAGAAAGAGAAGCTGGCCAGAGGGGGCCGTGCAAGGTGGAGAGAGAGCCCCGGCGCTGTTTAGGGAGAATAGCCACCCAGCCGCTCCGTGAACCTATGCTGCAGCATTTCCCACCTTTCAAAGAAAAGCCCAACTCGTTTTATGTGCCCAGTGCTTATTTAAAAACGTCAGCAACTTATTCAAAGTTTAAAAATTCTTGCTGGCCTCCTCCCTGCCACCCCCCATGAATGGATGAAGCTAAGGCTCCAACTGGGGGTAGAGCCTTGCTAAGGAGCACTGAGTTCCTCCTAGTCCTCTCGCGAGGCCCCTCCCAGCCCCTGGCCTGGTCAGTGCCTGCTCAGGGGAATCTGCTGGAACAAACCCAAGGGAAAGCGAAAGAAGGCAGCAGACGGCTGCAGAAAGTGCTGAGACACGTCCCAAAGCCAGCGGGCCGTTGGTTTTCGATGATCTCTGCTTTGGAAATTGCAAGCGAAGGGAAAGTCTGATCTCTCCTTTTGTGCTCTGTTCCCCTGCCCCTCCTGCCCCTCCTGCCCCTCCTGACCCCCAGCCCCTCCCCACCCACATCCCCAGTTAAGAGCCATCAGTGAGGCTGTTTTAAACCTGAATTCTCTTATTCTTGAACTGTCGTGGGTCAGCTTTGTTGGGGAAATTGCCTCCCACCAAATTCTCATCCATAGCTGGTTCCTCTGGCGCTCGCCTCCCATGAGGAGACCAGACCAGCCTGCTGGAGGGAGACCCGCTCTCAGGGGCTGGCATCTGAAGAAGGGCTCCCTCTCACCCACCTTCACAGTCATGGGCCCCCCTTTGTACATGCGAAGCAAACAGAGCTTTCCAGAAGTCCACCAGATTTTTGCTGCCCCCACCCCATCGTTAGTAGGAAGTTGGAAATAGTGGCGGTTTCTATGGTAATGTCTGCTCAGGCTAAGCAGAGAAATTAAATCCCTGGGTCAGTCCAAAGCTTTAAACTTTTCCACTAACACCCCCCTTCCGCCCCCACAATAAAAATAAAAGCTAATTAGTAACACTTAACTAGCATCCAATTTGAATTTCTCATTTTTGTCCCACCCCGTGGTCCCTGTACGTAGTACAAATAACAGAGGGGTAACAGGGAAAGGGCTTGGATGATGTGGTTTGGCACAGTAAGTATTTATTTAGCATCAGCCGTGTGCCCAGATCTCTGTGTAGCTTCAGAATGATGCAGAAAGGGACGCTGGGAAAGCCAAGCCTTTCCTCCGGGGACCCCAGTGGCCTTGATTAGGACAAATGTGTTTCGACATGGGACAGGCTGCTCAAGCCTGAGAAATCCGACAAGTAATGAAAGGTGATCCTGACATGAAGGTCGGACGGGGCAGGGATGGGTGGCCATAATGAGCTTGTCCACTGATCACAGACCCTGAGAAATCAGGAACCTCTTGTATTTCAAAGGAGCTCAGCTCTGGAATGAGCACCAATGTGAAACAATTATGGAACTGAAAACAAACAGATAGCTTCCGTTTTATTATTATAATTTGTCATGGTCAAGTCACATATTGACAATGAAAACAACGGCCACAGAGAGCTCCTGATGCCACTACCCTGACATGACAACTGTCATTTTTAGTGACTCCCTTCCAGCCTGGGGGTGGGCCTCTGCTGTCCTGGAATGGAAGCCCAAGTAATACTTAAACTCCCAAATCGCTGCTTTTATCCCTACGGATCCAGCAAGGCTAGTCCGGACAGAGTCGGTCCCGTGTGACATCAACAACCCTCTGCGAAAGCCACCCCGATATTCGGACCTGCACATCAGTCAGACACTCCCCAAAACCAACAAAATCAACAAGGTGAGGCTGGGGTTCTATTGGGCCGGCTGGGGCTGCCGCTGCAGGAGGGAGGAGGGGTCCGGAGGAGGATTCGGTGGGCTTCCTGGAGCACTGCCTCGCCTCCCAGCACCTGGCACTGCTAATTCTGTGTGGTTGGTGTTGAGTCAAGCTTGGGGGGCATCCAGCCATCAGTGGAGAGTGAGCGCCAGGAACCTGTCTGACTGAGGGAGCCGGCACACGGAGATGAGGATGAATGAGTGTGGAGGACGGTCAGCAGGGATTAGCAGGAGAGTTTGAGACGGGTTCCATAGTTGTCCAGACCCCGCACTCTTTGCTCTGTGAGATGTTTCGCCATCTGGCGGGATTAGCGTTGCAGATGGTTCTGCGCTTTCTGACACATCTGTTGAGTCAAACCACCGGGGGACAGGGATCTATTTCTGAGCTCCTGCCGGAGACGGGTGGACGGGTGTGTGCGGGGGCCTCCGAGAGCCACAGCCACTTTGCTGGACTTCCTGCTGATCCTCAGACGTGGGCCTATCTAGGCATCTTTCTTTCCAATGAGACCTGCAAATGTTCAGTATGATTTCCACAGCCTTTGTTTGGCCTGCTGGTTGGACTCCACCGAAGTTATCCCAGGCTGCTTCCAGCCCCACAGGAGGAGGCACAAGTTGTACTTGCCAGCAGGTGGTTTCTCAAGCCCCAGACGCCTCCGTGCATGGTATTAAAGGTGGTAAAGTGGGGATCAGCCTGAGTGTGTTCAGGACCCAGAAGAGCACCGGGACTTCTCACCGGTGAGGCACAGTCTCGCTTCTCTGCATGAGGCTGCCGAGGACATGGCCCCTTTCCCAGTCTGTTCTCCACACAGCAACCAGAGTGCTTCTTAATGAATATAATTTAAATTGTGTCACCTCTGCTTAAAAAGCATCTGGTCATTTTCTAGTGCATTTAGAAAACAAATCAAATACTGCACCCTGTAAGGCAGTGCATAATATGGTCCCTCTCTCCGTCCCTGACCTCCTTCTCCATGCCTCCCCACCACAGCCCATGTCCTTTTACTCTCCTGCTATCACCCACCATTTTCACTAGTTGATTTCAGTCATTCACCATCTGATTCCGTGCAGCATCATCTCAGCAGTTGAGAACTTGGCCTCTAAAATCAGGCAAACCTAGCAGCCAGCCTTGGCTTCCTCCATTTACCAGCTGTGAGACTCTGGGCAAGTAATGGAATCTCTCAGAGCCTCAGTTTTCTTGTCTGTAAAATGGGTACATTCCAGTTACGCACTACTGCTCAAACAAACTTAGTGGTATACAACAACAGCCCTTTAATTATGCTCCTGGAGTCTGTGGGGCAGCTATTAAGAAGCAGCACAGGGGGCACTGTCTCTGCTTCATAATGTCCAGGGACTCAACTGGGAGAACTCACACAGTGGGGAGCCGGAATAATCTAGAACAGGGTTTGGCAACTAAGGTTTACAGGCCAAATCCAGTTTACCACCTGTGTGTGTGAATAAAGTTGGATTGGAACAAGCCACACTCTTATTGTTTATGGCTGTTTTCATGCTACAATGGCAGAATTGAGTAGTTCCAACAGAGACCACATGGCTCACAAAGCACAATAGATTTGTTACCTGAAAAAGCTGGCCATTCCCAGATCTAGAGGCTCCTTCACTCACAGGTCTGGTGCCAGGTTGGGAGGAGTCAAAGCCTGGGCTCTGTAGAAGCTCCACAGAAGCCCCTGCATGTGGGCCTGCCTTGTGGCTTGGGCTTCCTTCCAATATGGCTGCCTCACATAGTTAGGCTTCTCGCATGGCAGCTCAGGGTTTGAAGGGCAGCTGTTTCAGCAAACAGTGTGGAAGATACATGGGTTTTTATAACCTGGCAATATGAGTCCATGCAGTGATGGTCTTGGCTTGCATTAGCCAAGGGCTGGCAGTGACCGTTCTGTTGCATTCTGCTGATAGAAACAGTCACAGCCTACTCAGATTCAAGGGGAGGAGATGTAGACCCCATCCTGTTGATGGGAAGAGTCCAAGGAATTTGTGGCCATGTTTTAAAATGTCTATGGTGGGTAATAAAAGCACCAACCTCAGAGAGTTATTGTGGGGAAGAATAAAATAATCAACATTAAAAGAACTTAGTGCAGTTCCTTGGCACATGGTAAGTGTCCAGGAAATTCTAGCTATTATCATCAGCTTAAATCTTGGGTTTCTGGTCAAAATTCCATTTTTCTTTATTATTTGAAAAAGATGGGTCTCTAGGAGAGGGGATCCCCATCTCTGGAAGGGATGAGGGGGCTTGCACAATGAGGCCCCTGGAAAGTAACTGCATGCCTGTAACCCAGCCTTTCCTTTGTGACATCTTGGGGACAAGGAGCTCAGAGCCATCACAACCCCCCCCCCCTCTCGATTTCTAGGCACAATGAGCCTCTTGGTGTCAGATGGGACAGAAACAAGGGTCAGATAGATCAATTACTGTGACATTGTTCTGCTTGTCTGCCAGCAGGAGAATTTGATAAGAGAAATAAATTAACCTCTATTAAGAAAGTGGCTTTGACATGAAGGTGGACAGAATCTATGATAGAGCTGGGTTATTTTTTCCCCTCTTTCTCTTCTCACTGGCTTCACACAGATTCTTTTTGTCAGGCAATGATGTAGTTAGTGCAATAGATTTCTAAGCCAATTTGGTCTGAAGATTTCCTTTTCATTGCTGTCTGTCTCCTCTCCGGTCTAGCTCAGTCAATCCAGGTTCGCAGAAGCCCAGCTTTTTCCTTCGGCATAATGGTTAGAGTCTGCATTTTTTAGTCAGAAGGCTTGGAACTCAGTGTCTTCACTTGCTATGTGATCAGAGCAAGATCTCTCTGCCTTGATTTTTCCCTCTGTAAAAGGAGAAGTATCATAGCAGACACTACTATTGGGATTGTGGAGAGGATTGGATACAGTGATATGTGTAAAGAATTTAGTCCAGCACTGGATACTCAGGGCATGGAAATGGATAAAGAAGAAGACAGAGAATGAGGAAGAGGAACACAAGGAGGATTAGGAGGAAGAAAGTGGAAGAAGAAAGAGGATGGAGGAGGAAGAGGGAGAAGGAGGTGGAGTGGAAGAGCAGAAGGAGGAATAGGAAGGAGGGGGAAAGAGGAAAAAGAAGAAAAGAGAGGAGAGAGCCAGAGGAGAAGGAGATGGAGGAGGAGGAGGAGGATGGGGAGATGGAGGAGGAAGTGGAGATGGAGGAGGATGGAGGAGATGGAGGAGGAGGAAGTGTGGAGATGGCACAACCTTATGTTTCTGCTTCTAGGCCAGAGCCATTAACTCTCTGTACGCTTCCAACAAGTCACCCCCCCCCCTTTGAGTTTCAGTGCCCCCTCTGTAGAGTGAAGGGCTTGGACTTGGTGGTCCTAAAGGATGTTTCCCTTCCCTGCATGAGGTGGGAGCTTGAGTTTCCCTCTGATGGAACACAGCCTCCTGCTGCTGGTCCTATTGGGACTCAGATCTGAGTCCCCTCCTATGGGAGTGATTCTGCCAGGGAAAGTGGGCACCATCTCTCTCTCTCTCTCTCTCTCTCTCTCTCTCTCTCTCTCTCTCTCTGATTCAGTTTGTTCACATCAGCCCTGAGCTTTGCTACACGGAAGAGAATGACATGGTTCCTATCCTCAAGGATGTAGAGATAATTCCTTTCTCCATAAAGACAGTTCCTCCTCCTCTCCCTCCCTCCACCTCTCCTTCCATCTTTCCTTTTTTATATTCATTCATTCATTCATTCATTCATGAGCAACCTCTTAGTTTTTGTTTCTGTACTAAGTTCTGCAGATTCCAAGATGAATACGACATAGTCTAGTAGGAAGAGATAGATCTTCTCCCTCCCTCTCTCCTCTCCACCTCTCCACTCTCCTCCTTCCTGTTCTTTCTTTCCTGTTTTCCTTTGTCTAGCACACATTTATTGGCGGGCCACACTGTGCCTGGCACCTGGCTACTGCAGATCCTGCTTACACTTGCTTCCCGGAGCTGCCGTAACAAATGAGCACAGCCTTGGAAGCTAAAACAACAGTCACTTATTCTGGAGGCCAGAGGTCTGAAATGAAGGTTCCAGCAGGGCTGGTTCCTTCTGGAGACCCCGAGAATCCCCTCCATGCTCGCTCCTAGCCTCCGGCGGCTCCGCAATCCTTGCCGTTCCTTGGCTTGTAGCAGCAGCATCAGTCCAACCTCTCCTGCCATGTGTGCATGGCCTTTCCCTCTGTGTGTCCCTCCCTTTCTGTTTCTTATAAGGACACTTGGCATTGGAGTTAGGCCCACCCCAACCCAGGAAGATCTCATCTCAAGATCCGTACGTTCAGGGCGCGTGGAGTCCTTTTGTAAAGTAAGGTCCCCCTCTGCGGTTCCAGGTGGAACACTGCTCAGCCCACTCCACAGCTCCTGCCCTCACCCGCCAGGGCCATTGTGAGGATGCACACTGGATTCACCTTCATCTTTGCTTTAGAGCAGGTTCGGGGGCCAGGAGAGGCCGCGCTGGTTCCAGTGCAGATGCGAGGGCGGTGCGGAGGCTCCTCTCCCGCTCTCCCCTGAGCTGTCAGGCTGCTGATTCTTTAATAAACACCCGGGAAGAGAGGTGTCGGGATGGGAAGAGCACACTGGGCACCTCCGCGTGGCTCTCTCCCGAATCAGAGAGAACGGGAGCGTGGCTGTCACCCACGTGCTTGCATTCCGTGGTCACCTTTCACTCGGGGGTCCGGACAGTGGACAGGAACTTGATTACAGAAACTGTTCCTTCCACAGCTGGATGCCACCTGCTGGGGATGTTGGAAGGATCCGGGGGTGAGGATGCTGGCGTGGGTCTCTTCCTGCTCAGCTCACTCTCACTGCTGCCCCCGCCCTGTTTTCCTTCTGCAGGACCACATTCCTGTCCCTTACCAGCCAGACTCCAGCAGCAACCCCTCGTCCACGACGTCCTCCACGCCCTCCTCGCCAGCACCCCCGCTCCCTCCCAGCGCCACGCCGCCGTCTCCCCTCCACCCTTCCCCGCAGTGCACCAGGCAGCAGAAGGCCTTCAACCTGCCAGGTACCCCAGGGCTCGGGGAGGCGAGGAGGTGTTGGGTTCATGCCAGGGTCACTTGGGGGCACGCTTGAAGGCATGTGGAGCGAGTCTTACATGCAGGACTCTTGCCACACATGACTCACTGGATCTTTAGAGTAGCCACGGGGTATTATCAGCTCCGTTTAACAGGCGAGGAAACGGCGGCTCCGAGAAGGAAAGGCTATGTCTGTTGGTCAGCAGCAAGCCGGCGTCTCCACCCACGTCTAAGTCACAGGGGCAGCTGGCAGTTGTCTTATGGACTAAATCGTTGAAACTGGCAGGGGACCCTGGGCCCAGGCTCTCAGGGCCCCCACGCCTGAGCGGAGCGGGCTGCATTCCGAGTCTTACCCCCCCGTCAGGAGAGGGCTCTGCATGAGCTGGAGTTCTGGATTCACTCTCCTCTATCACACTCCTGCCATGTGGCCTCCGGCTTCAGCTTGCTCACCTCTGAAAGGACGTAGGTGGGTGACAGGACCCCAAGGATTCTTCTGCCTCACACATTCCCACTTGAGTTCATGCACTGCCCAGGGCTGCAGTTTTTCTCCCTCTCAAGTCGTCTTCTGACCTTCCGACCACATCCATGTATTTATTTCCTGAACATGCATTTATTTAGCATCTCCGATGTTCCAGGTACTGTCCGAGGCACTATGTACGGAGGGGACATGCACAGAGCAGACACGCCCGGTATGAGTTTCCTGTTGCTGCTGTAACACTGCCACAAGCGTCATGCCTTAGGACAGGACACATCTGTTACCTTACAGTGATAGAGGTCACAAGTCCACATTTTGTGTCTCTGGGCTGAAAACCAAGGTGTCAGCAGGGTGTTTTCTGTGCAAGGTTCTAGGGGGAAAATCCATCTCCTTGCCTGACAGCTCCTAGTAGCCGCCAGCATTCCTTGGCTAGTGGCCCCGCACTACTCCAGCCTCTGCTTCCATTCTCACAGCTCCTTTTCTGACTCTACTCGGATCCTCCGGCCTCCCTCTCATGAGGACCCTTGTGATTGCATTTAGGATGCACCCAGAGAACCCAGCATAGTCTCCCCATCTCAAGATCCTCAACGTGGTCACATCTGCAGAGTCCCTTTCGCCATGTGAAGTAATGTGGTCACAGTTTCCAGGGATTAGGACAGGGGAGGGTAGGATTGTTCTGCCTCTCACAGTCTGTTCTCCTGGAGTTTGTAGCTTAGTGGGAGAGACAGGTGTGAACCAAGCAAACAGACATGAAAATGAGAGGAAGAACAGTGCTGGGAGCAAATTCAAGAAGAAAACAAGTTCAAGTTGAAATATCAGAGGCAGGTGAGTCCTGAAAATGGGGAGAGTAGTCCTGGCAGAGAGAGGGGAGCACCTGCAAAGGCCCTGCCACAGGAAAGAGCTGAAAAGTTGTCCAATGGCCTGAGTGCCACAAACAAGGGAGGAGGGCGCCAAGTGAGACAGAGCTGCAGGCTTAGGCCTGGCGGGGCCTTGCAGGGCTTGGCGGGAATTTAGGTTTTTAAAAAACATGTTTTTATTGATTTTGAGAGAGAGAGGAAGTGAGAGGGAGAGATAGCTAGAAGCACTGATGATCGGTTTCCTCCTGCACGCCCCTTCTGGGGATCAAGCCTGAAACCCAGGCATGTGTCCTCACCGGAATGGACCAGTGACCGCTTAGTGCATGGGAGGACGCTCAACCAACTGAGCCACACGGGCCGAGCAGGGATTTAGATTTTATTGAAGACACAGTAAGAGGCCACTGAAAGGTTGAGGCAAGGGATCCTTCTTCCTTCCAGATCCTTCCATTCAGAAGACCACTCAGGCTGCTGACTGGGGAGGCCCTAGGGAGGAAGCGGTGGGGACTCCAGAGTGGACGCACTTTCACGGTGGCCTCCTGCCCTCTGACGTCTGCTCATCTAAGCCTCTCAGTCTTCATGATCCTGTGATGCCAGCGGCCCAGGAGCCACTAGGTGCCCTGAGCAGGCCACTCGGGTTCACCAGCTGTCCCTTGGAGCCGCTTCTCGCTGGTGTCCCTCATCGGCGAGCACAGGGCTCACAGTGACGCTGTCCCCTTTTCCAGCCACTCCCTCCCTTTAGTCGCCAGGCACAGCTGTGCTCCTGCACGGAAGAGTCGAGGAGGGGTTGACTCTGTACGTGCAGGCATTTGCGGGGTGTCCTATTGCCCGGCACCTGTCCCTCCTCAGAGCAGGGCTCCTTCTGTTGCCCAGCCCCTCCTCCTGAGATGGCTGTCCCTGCCAGCTAACCTTTCTGCGGCCACTGAATCCCCCATTCCCGCCGGAGGGAAGAGATCAGCTAAGCCTATTGAGAACCACGGGTACTTTTCTTCCTTTAATTTTAGCCCCTTGTTGACAGCAAAATGCCTGCATGCAATTAAAAGCAAGCAAACAAACAAAAAACCTAGGTTACCCAGCAGAAGAAGGTCCCACAAATCATGGAGGTTGGTTTTCTTTTAAAGCTTTGATCTGTGACCTTGAATTGCTGTGCTTCCCATCCCGGGCAACTCATTTTCTAGAATAAAAAATGCATCCGTTTGGATTCCAGCTACCTGGAATTTGGGCACTTGTTGCACTAAAAGAAAGGGAGTTAGTTCAACAAACATGAGTTGTGCACCCACGGGTCCAGGTGCCAGACCAGGCGCTTGGGATCCTGAGATGCCAGGGCTTGCTCTCCATCCTGGGGTAGGGTTGGGGGTGGGGATTATCCATCAATTCCAACCTCAAGGGCAGCTAATGGTTTAGCTCTCTGAAGCTATCTGATTGCCTCTTAATTAAAAATCATTCTTACCTGTTAGTTAAGACAGCATCAAAAGATATTGGCTCATTCATAGCAGCCAATACTTACTCCATACCTACTGTGCACTCCTGTTTCATATAAGGATGAGCTCAGCCCTATAAGGGAAGACTCTTATCATCCCTACGGTATGCACATGGAGACAGACTCGGAGAGAGTTGCCCAAGCTTTTACAAACAGCCAACAGAGGAGCCAGGATTCAGCCCTGCCTCCAGGATCGGCCTTCAGACCTCGGGCTTGGAACCACTAATCCTCTCTGCTAATCCTCTGTGAGCCAGCTCCCAGCTGTAGCTTGTCCCTGAATGAATAACATTGTTTTTGGAAGTTATCTCCACCCATTGAGACTGCGTCTGAGCCCACCCTGCTCGCTTCCTTTATTTGAGATTAGAAAGCTCTGTGTGATCTGACCATTCCCTGACACTCCGTGGCTGCTCTGCTCCAGGCCCGTCACCCCCCGCCCCCCTGCCCCCGCCGTAAGTTAGAGCCCTGGGAATTGTCTGGAAGAACTGGCCTCTGAGAGGGCTGAACTGGAAGTAAAATGAATTGTAGGAGAATCAGCAGTGACGCTGAGGATATTTCTTTTACATCAGTTTTCCTACACGTGGAAATTAATTCATACTGTGGTAGGCAGGCTAATGGTCCCCCAAAGGTGACCACGTTCTAGTCGCGGGGTCTGTGATTATGTTACCTTATATGGCAGAAGGTACTTGGCAGCTGTGACTTTGTTAAGGGTCTTGAAGTGGAAAGATTATCCTGGATTTTCTGGGGCCTCTAAATGTCATCCTAAGGATCCTCATGCGAGGGAGGCAAGAAGGTCAAAGACAGTGGAAGGCAGTGTCAGACGGAGCCGAGATTGGGCTGTGAGCCAAGCAGTGCAGGCAGCCCCAAGGGCCGGAGGAGGCAAGAAACTGCAGAAGGAACCAGTCCTGGCAACTCCTTGCTTTTAGCCCTTAGGACTTATTTCAGACTTAGCCTCCAAAGACCTGTAAGACAATAAATTTCTTTTGTGTTAAGCCACAAAGTTTGTGATAATTTGTTACAGCAGCAATAAGAAGACGAATACAATGCTCCATGCAGAGAATTTGGAAAACACAGGAAACTCCTTCTTGTTGTTTTTTAAGTCACTGCAGTCACGCTACCCAAAGGGGAAAATTTAACATTTTAGATTGTGGTTCCACAGACTTTTCTCTGTGTGCGTTCTTACGTATTTGCCAAAAATGGGGTTGTGCTCCGAATGACTCTGACTTGGGGTGCTCTGTATTCAGAGAGTTTTTAACGAGAGGGTTGGCTTGGATGTTTAGTGCTCTGGTGTCTTTACACGTCTCAGTCCCTTGGAATTCAGGGTGTCTGCAGGAGTCTGGAAACCCTTAAGGGTGGGCAGAGAACCCACACGGTGGCTGTGGGAGCCCCATTGGGTACCTGAAGGGCCTGCTCTAGGGCAGCACTCACTTTGGTGATTTTGTTCTCTTGCTAGCGTCCCACTACTACCAATACAAGCAGCAGTTCATCTTCCCAGGTGAGTCCCTGTGAGCTCAGCCCCTTCTGAGTGGGATGGATGAAGGTGAATGTCGGAGCGGACAAGCTCAGTGAGGGTGGTGGTGGGATCACCTGGCCCCAGGACAATGGCTAGACGTGGAAGTGGAAAAGGAAAGTGTGGGGGGTCCCAAGGGCGCAATGGCACCAAGGAGGTCGTCTGGGAAGGTGGTCCACAGTAGAAGGACGGGCAAGAGCAGGGGAGGTCCAGAGCACATGGAAGGGGAGAGGTGGTCAAACCATGTGACCTCGTCATTCCAAAGGGAAGCAGGAGTGGGGAGGATTTGGAGATGACCAGAGGCTTGGGGGTTCTGGCAGCCCCCTAGGTAGGCAGGGAATTTCGGTCAAGATGCCATCTGGACCACTGCTGCATCTAAGCAGGTGGTCCAGGAAGGGGAGGGGACCCACGAGCTGGTGAGCAGCTACCAGCTTCCAGAAGTCAGGTGTTGGTGGGTGTGCTCCACGTCCGGGTCCTGACTATCTGATCTCTGCTGTCAGATGTGGTGCCGGTGCTGGAGACGCCGACCCGGGCGCCCCAGGTCGTCCTGCATCCAGTGACCTCCAATCCCATGTAAGTGGCACAGAGGCCTCTGCCTCCCCCCAAGCCTGCAGTCCACTCAGGACCCCTCTGCCTTCCTCTTCCTGGAATTGACGTGATGGGAGGCAGTGGGGGAGGGAGACATAGCGGGGGAGGGGGGAGGGGGGAGAGACATGGGATGAGTCAAGCAAAGAGAGGGAGAGTGTGGCAGCCCAGGCAGAGAGAGGCCCCCCACAAGTCAGCTCTGTCCTGTGTTCCTGGCCCTGCCGGTCACGTGTGATTGCTAGGGGCTGGACTTGTTTCCCCCGACCCTCCTAGGATCAGAAAGACAACGTGCAGGCCAGAGCCAGTGCTCAATGGAAGGGCTGTTCTTCTATGTCATTGTCCCCCCTTTCAAAAGTAATTTAGGTGTATACCAGGGGTCAGCAAATTACAGCTTATGGTGGACGAATCCAATGTGCCGCATGTTTTTATAAATAAAGTTTTATTGGAACACGGCCACACCCATTTGTTTGCAACACACTCTCTGGTGGCTTTCAGACTCCAACCGCCGAGTGGAGCCATTGCGACAGAGACTGTATAGCCCGCAAAGTCTAAAATATTTACCATCTGGTCCTTTATAGAACAAGTTCGCTGACCTCAGGCTTACGCCATTGTACAAACAACTAATATGTACAGAATACATTGTACAGAATAACTAATACGATGGACTATTCTGTAAATATGTGCCCATTAGATATGTGCTCTTTCTATTCATAGTTGATCTCTGTGTGATCCATGATCTACACAGTCTCTATCCTACTTTTTCATCCGAGAATGCTATAACGTCGCATTTTTCATATTATTCCAGACCCTTCGCACACGTTGTTTTTAACGGCTGTAGAATTTTGTGTCAATGTGGGATAATTTCCTTACCCATTTCCTGATTGCAGGATCTTACCTCTCCCCACACCTCACTGTTGTACACAGTACGGCAGGGCACATCTCTGTGTGGGCATCTTTAGCCTCGGGGTGGTCAGTGGCTTGGGCAGCTGAAGTGACATCGTCTTCCGCAGCTTCTTCGATGATGACCAAGGTCTGGGACTTGTTAGGCACCTAGTTTCGATTTGACTGGTTTCTCAACTCACATTTTTGCCAACTCGGTTTTTCTTCCATCTCTGCTAGCTGCTCCGTTTTTTCTGACCGTGTTACAGACTTTGTTAAAGACCCAAGTGGTGCATCTCTGAAATCAAAGGAGCCGCAGTTTGCCGGGGGATATTGTGCTGACATGTAGCCCCGGATCATTTCTCTGCGGCGCGCAAACCAATTCCACAACTTGTGCAAGACGGGCTCCAGGTTATGAACCGACAGCCAGGGAGCGCCAGCGAGAAAACAGTTAATCAGTGCCTGCGGTCTGCTTAAATGTGCAGGCGCCGATTAAGGTGGAGGGATGCGCGCTACCTCCTCACAGAGGGGAAATGATTTAACAGCGCGGCTGCTGCAGCCTCGCCTGGATGGAACAGAGAAAGGCCCGAGTCGTAGGGTATGAGGAGGGATCCCAGCGGCACTGTCCCACCTGAGCCTCCCCCAGGGCATCGGGCTCCCAGCATATTAGCTGTCATTGTGCCGTGTCACTCCACCTCCCGTCGGAATAACTATAAGTATTGGGTTAATATGATGGCAAATGCCACTTTGTGACCCCCTCCTTTCTCCTGCTAGTTCTTAGGTCTTTCAGACTCCCTCTCACCGGGAGCCCCTCCAGTGAGCAGATGGACTCTGTCGGCAGGGTCAGCAGCTTCCTGGGGTCTGAGGGTCAGGATAGGGGAGGCCCCCAGATGAGGAGGTGGGAAGGGGAATCTGCTGAGCTGGGAAATAGGAAGGGGCATGGTATCCATTGATTCTTTCCTCCCACCTGATGTAGCTCACCCTATAAACACATACACATCTCTAAATCACCCCCAGAAACTCTTCAACACACGCTGTGCCTGTATCCCATCCCCTCCCACCCCGTGTACTCCAGCATCCCCTCTTACCCTCAGTACATACCCACTGACACCAGACTCACAGGCCCGGGACAACTGCACAGAGCACATCCCATAATACCCACACAATACCTTCAATATATATACTTAGTACACACACACACACACACACACACACACACACACACACCTGCGTCCTCCAGTACAATACAGTCTTGTTTCCTCCTCTTCATTCTCATTCCACACATCTCGATTCACTGTGACCTGCACAGTCCAACTAAACACGATGGACTCCTAAATCCATCCAGGAATCCTCTCTCTTGGGAATTTCCATCTCAGTCCATTTATTCAATTACTACCTGACTTTGGGCCCTTGTTTAGCCTTTCTGCACAATATCTGCATACTCCCTGTAGTTCCTTCAGTGGTAATGTAATGTTTCTTAAAGTCAGGAGCCAGGCCAGTTTCAACTCTTTTCCTTCTAAGGGCTTAGCACTGTTCCTGGCACATAATTGTAATTGAATGAATGAACGAACAGACAAACACATGAACACTAGATCCTTTCAGGAGATACCAAATCCCAGTGAAGCTTGGAGACCTGATTAATTCTCTCTAGGGAACACCTAGGGCTCCGAGGACTCTTCCACCCACGGCATTTAGAGCAGTGTATAGGAAGCTGCTAGATTAGTGGAAACCAATGCAGTCATGAAAAATGAGCCCTGAGCAGCCCAGAAAAAGTATTGAAAACAAAGTCCTCATGTGCGGTTTTTTACGGCGAGGTTACGGGCTATTTCTGACAGCAGCACTGAAGTGAATTCGAGATGAAGGCTTGTGGTGAGGACTTCTCACTTTGGGTCTCATACCAGGATAAGGTCATTACAGGGGCCCACCTTTGCACCCGAGGGTCACATTTATTTTTCTTTCTTTAAAGCTTGGAAGGAAATCCATTACTTCAAATTGAAGTGGAGCCAACCTCAGAGGTGAGAACTGGGGATGGCGAAGCCAGCTTTCCGGGGCTTCCCGGAACTCAGCAAAGCCGAGGGCTTGGGGCAGGTCGGGGTGCGGGGTCCTGAGTGATGGCTGTTCTAACTCCGGGACAACTACCAAGTGGTGACCCCTCCCGGCACCAGCCTAATGGGCCATTATATGGTGTGCATCATGGGAAAGCTACTTGTGCAGAAGTTGGCAAGCCATTTGTATTCTTGGTAGAAAACACAGCTCAGGGCTGGATAAATCCCCAGGGGGGTTGTGCCCTAATGAATACACGGGAGGGTGGGGGGTGGTCTCAGGGACACTGGGCTTCTCAGGGTGTTAAGAATCCCGAGAGCCAGGTCCAGGCCTGCACCCGCGCAGAGCGGACCCAGCAGGACACCATGCCCCAGGCAGTGCAGGAATAGCTCTCTCTCTCCCCCTCGGCCACAGAACGAAGAGGGCCATGACGAGGCCGAGGAGTCGGAGGACGACTTCGAGGAGATGAACCTGTCCCTCCTCTCGGCCCGGAGCTTCCCGCGCAAGGCCAGCCAGACCAGCATCTTCCTGCAGGAGTGGGACATCCCCTTCGAGCAGCTGGAGATCGGCGAGCTCATCGGGAAGGGCCGCTTCGGGCAGGTGTACCACGGCCGCTGGCACGGTGAGGTGGCCATCCGGCTCATCGACATCGAGAGGGACAACGAGGAGCAGCTGAAGGCCTTCAAGCGGGAGGTGATGGCCTACAGGCAGACGCGGCACGAGAACGTGGTGCTGTTCATGGGCGCCTGCATGAGCCCGCCCCACCTGGCCATCATCACCAGGTCAGTCCCACCCGGGCTCCCCGCCCGTGGGCTTAGTCCCAAAGCTCTGCCTCCGGGAGAGTTAAGAAGGGGGGATTCGGGTTTACTCTGCCATTCACAGGGTGTGTGGTTGAAGGTTTGCCCTTCCAGAAAGCACTCTGAATGCTAAAATCCCTCGGCAGAGCACAGCGCAGGGAGTCAAGAAATCAGTTCTAGATTCCCCTGTCTTCAAGGATTTGTAAAGCCACATCTCTGAGACTCACTTTTTCCATGTGGGAATTAACTGGATCAGACTAAATCGGGGTCTGCAGACTTTTTCCAGTAGTAAATATTTTCAGCTTTGCAGCCATACAGTTGCTATAGGAACTTCTCAGCCACTGTAGTGTGAAGGCAGCCACAGACAGGACACAAATGGATGTACATGGTTGTGTACCGATAAAACTTTATTTGCAGAACCAGGCACTGGGCTGGAGGTGGCTCACGGACCTAGTTTGCTAAGCCTTGGAGTAAGATTCCGATGGCTATTACTCTGGCTTTCCTCAAAGCATCAGAGCATGTGTGCGGGCCTTTACCATCGTGGTTTGAAATGTCCAGAATCCACAGTCTGTCCTGACACAGAAGGGGTCATCAGTAGAGAACTGACATTAGGAAAATGTCAGGTGATAGGAACTTTCTTGCATTTGCTCTTTCTAACCTGGCCCAGTGACATGAACATTGAAAAAAAATAGCTTCAGTTTTAGTTGAACGGCGTGGACCAATCCTTCGGTGTGTGTTTAAATTGGCATCGGCTCCCGTGTTGCATGAGGATGGCCACAGCAGCGGTGTTGTGGGGCAGCCTGTGATACCAGAGGTGAATTAGGAGCCCCGTCTCCCAGACTCAGCTCCAGCAGGAATATCCCGAATACACAAGCCTCACATCTTGGCAGGTCCGGAGCGGGAGCTGTGGGCTCAGGGAAGAGCTGGTGTGTCTTTGATTTGTTCCCTTGTGATTAAAGCCTCCTTGAGTCCATTTGTAAGATCTGGGTGATGGGTAGAAGGAGTGTGATTGTCTGTCACCATTGATGATGCAGATGGTGGGTTGACTGGAACCCATGTGTCAAATGATGTTTGCAAAGGATTGGGGATTCGGGTATAGTCCTTCAACTCTCCTTAAACGGGGTGAAAGCGGTTGTTGTACATTCTGCACAGGACAGCCGTGGCTCTCAAATAATCAGCCCAGATAATATTCAGGAGCTGAGGGGTTCTGATTAGGTGAGTGTATCAGTAAGCTTTTGCTGAGTGACAAACTACCCCCAAACTTCATAGTTTCTCTCTATTCTGTGGATAGTTCTGCACTGAGCCAGGCTCAGTAGCTGGGCTCTTGGATGTGTCTGTGGTCAGCTGACAGGTCAGATGGGGGCTGGTCGGTATTGGATGCCCTTTGGGTTAGCAGACTGTCCACTGGGGTGCTTCGGTTCTCCTCCACGTGGCCTCTCATCCCCAACAGGGCAGCTCGGGCTCACTCCCATCGTGCTCCCAGGGCTCCAAGAACAGCAAGAGGTCAAGCCCCAATGGACAAGTGCCTTTCACATGTCTGTCTGTGTCCCATTGGCTAATGTCCACTGGCCAAAGCAAGTCACGTGGTCAAACTCCGCTTAAGGCATGGGGAAACAGACTCCGCCTCTGGATGGGAGGATTTGTAGTGTCACATTGCAAGGGTATGGATGCAGAGAACGGGACAGTCTGTGGCCATTTTACCACCTGCCAACACAAGGCCCTCAGCCCCTTTCCTCCCAGCACGTGTCTTCTTCACGAGCAGGCAGGCAGCAGCCTCTCCTTGGGCGCACAGGTCTGGTTGGAAGGTGGTCTGTTCCCCAGCACTGCCCTTCTGCCCACCACTCCCCCAAGTCTGCTCCCGACCTCTCTCACCTTCTGGCTTTCTAGTCCCTGTTTTTACTTCCCCAAACTAGAAATTTGAAATCCACTGTCTTTTCTCTTTTGCCTGGCCTTTCTAAGGACCTCCTGCCTCCACCCTCCGACTTTTTCAGGGTTATCAGTGGAACCCAAGCCTCTCGCACCCCTTTGCCAAGGGCTGGCTAATTGGAAATAGACGGCTCGGTTAGCAGCCATGCTTGAAAAATAAGTGGTCCTTATGAAAATGTGTCTCCATCCTACAAGCCAGCTGTGTTTGCGGCCTCTTCTGAGCCCCCCCCCCGAGCATCATAACTGCCTGCAAATTTCACAAATAGCACAGCCTCTTCCTGGCACCGTGATAAAGGCGCTGCAGCTTTGGGACAAATAATTGGTCTCTGAAGTGTTTTGGTATTTTGTGTGAAGAAGCCAGATGAGCCCCCAAAGAAGTGGCATTTATCCCATATTACTGGGTGATTATATATTTATCTTGGGGGGGCCTCTGTGCACCCCTCTTTCCCATTTAGCACCGTCCACTTGTTGGCCATCCAGGTTTCTTAACATTCAGTTCAAAAGCAAATATTTGAGTAATTTGATTAATCGCCTGCATTCGCACAGTTAGCTGGCAGAGGTCGGTGGTTGGATGATAGCCAACCAACTGGAACCATTTTTGGACTCTGGATTTATTTTACAGGGAACACAAGACCAGATAATTACCTGGCAGATCCTGGATAAATTCACAATGGCGTGTTCTAGCCAATTACTTAGTAATTATCATCGACGTTAACAAGTATTTCTAAGATTAGCTTCCCTGTAATGCAGTGTGTAGGGCTCTTGGGAATGAGTAATCACCAACTAGTTACCCACTGCTATACCCCAAATGCAATTAGCAGGATTGCTCAATCGTTCCACGATCGGGTCATTATGAGATAGCAAAGCTATCGACAGTCTGCACAATAACTCATTTGGAAACCTCCAAATGGAATCTGAAAGCCTGTAAAGACAGAGTTGAATGAAAGCATCTCTCATCCTTGCTGCGGAGTTTCCCAGGCCTCAGTTTCCCCATCTCTAAAAAGAGCAGGTAGAAGTGGATGTTTGCTGTGGGGTCCTTCCAACTCTAACAGAATTCTCTGGATCCCTGAGACTGGGCTGTGTTTGAGAAGCAGCCTGGGACTGCTGCCCACAGTATGGTCCACCCGATCTCCTGTGTCAGAGCCGGCAGAGGGGGGTGGTCGTTAACATGCGGATTCCTGGGTGCCCCTCAGTTTCCTAGGGCTGTGGTAACCAATTAGCATAAACCTGGCGGCTTGAAATGACACACGTTTATTCTCTTACGGTTCTGGGGGAGGACCAGAAAGAAGACGGTGGTAGCAGAACCTGAGGGCAGAGGGTAGGAGATGAGGGTAAAGAAATGGCAGGAGCCAGTTTTGTGGGGGAGGGACTCTCAAGTCTGGTGCAGGTTGGGGACTTTTAAAATAATATGCCTACAGCAGTCTCTCAACCTCAACTGCGGCACTGTGACATTTGGGCCAGATCATTTGTTTTTAGGGACCTGTCCTGGGCATTGTAGGATGCTTAGCAGCAGCCTGCCCGCCCCCCCCCTTCCCACTGGATACCAGTAGTACCGAGGCGCTAGTTGTGATAACAGAAAGTGTCTTCAGATATTGCCAAATGTCCCCTGGTGCAAAGTCACCCCACTCTAAGAACATTGCCCTAGAGTCTACTTTCATTATCTGCATGGGGCTCAGACCTCAGTACAAAACCCCCTCCATGTGATTTTGTCCTCTGAGCCCTCCTGTTGTAGGGCCTCGGAGCCTGGGGAGAGGTCTGGGCTTGATGCTGCGGGCAGCAGGCAGCCATTGGAGGGCTGTTGCAGGGGCAGACCTGGTGCTTTTGAGGGCAAACATCTCAAGAAAGGGTGCAGGCCCAGGGGGCATTTAAAAAAATTGCTACCCATGTTGCTATTACCCAAGTTACCCCAGAAAGCCCCTGTGCCTCTTCCAGCCAATTCATACGCCCCCATTCCCTCTGTTCTGAATTACAGCACGCCAGTTATTCCTGCCTGTTCTTGAACTTTATGTAAATGGAATCCTGCTGCGATTTCTTTTGTGTCTGGCTTTTTGTTACTCATCATGCTGTTGAGATTCACCTGGCGTTGTGTGCATCAGCAGTCAGTTCTGTGGCCACGTAGCAGTCCGCGGTGTGAATCCACTGCAGTTTGTTTGTCCACCCTCCGTGAATGGGCCTTCGAGGGTTTCTCACTGGTTGACCTTCAGTCCGACTTCAGTTTCTCTAACAGCCTGAAATACAGCTTCGACTTACTTTCTACTTTTTAGCCTCTTTCCTCATTTTCTACTTCAAATGTCTACTCTCTCTTCCTTCTTTTCTTTTCTTTTCTTTTCTTTTCTTTTCTTTTCTTTTCTTTTCTTTTCTCCTTCCTTCCTTCCTTCCTTCCTTCCTTCCTTCCTTCCTTCCTTCCTTCCTTCCTCCCTCCCTCCCTCCCTCCCTCTCTCCCTTCCTTCCTTCCTTTAATCCTCATCTGAGGTTAGAAAGAGGGAAAGGGAGGGAAGTGGGGGGAGAGAGAGAAACATTGATGTGAGAGAGACATATCGATTGGTTGCTTCCCCCATGTGCCCAACCAGGGCTGGGGATGGAACCTGCAACCAAGATACATGCCCTTGACTAGGGATCGAACCTGAGACCTTTCAGTCTGCGGGCCAATGCTCTAGCCACTGAGCAACCCTGCTAGGGCAAATTTCTACCCTTTCTGACATGCGGACCCTTGTAGTCACCAATTCCCTTTCCTAAGGTTAAACATCATTTAACCTTTCCTATGGGGACACACTTCTGTTTTTATCCAAAACAGCTCCAATTACAGGTTTCCAGGAATCCGCATGTTCTCACTCCCGTGCGTCTATCCCTAGAAAACAGATGATAAAAGTCAGCGAGATTCTCTTTTTTTAAATTTTTTAGGGCGTGGGGAGGGAGAAGCTGCCTCCTTCTTCCCAGAAAGGTTTATCACCACGTCCTGATGCCTCCCGTCCTTAGCTTCCGCTCTGGCCTCGCTCAGGAAAGGAAGTCACGGAGAGCTTCGGGCTCAGGAGAGACTATGGCTCCCTCAGAAGTCCCTT